GCCTTAAATAGTAAAACCACCAGGAGGACTCAAATGGTTTGCAGCTGTGTCAATTGCTGATCCAATTAGTGACAGATGCTTCAGTATGTATGGATCACTTGGGTTGTTACCAACATCTGGTGAAAATTTCATGTCATTAGCACCTCTAGTAATATATTTACTGAGAAAAATGGTGACGTGTTCAATACTTATTTTACTCACTGTACTTCTCCTCCTTCAGCAGCCAGCATGGGTTAAACTAAAAAGTGTTTCCTCCACAAAACTTCAGTTTAGCCTGTGTGAGTTGCTACTGACGTCCTTTGTTAGCTCTGATTACCTTCTCTGTCCGACTAAAGGATTGTTGACGTCTTCATGGTCCCGTTAAATGACTTCAGTGTTACAACTCAAACTCCGACTGGTTAAAGCAACAGTCTTGTTGCTGTTTATTTGAAGCTAAAAGGCTGCACCACTGATCCTGAAGGCCCAGAGGCACATTCCTTTAACCACAGCAACACATGATGGTGGAAATCTGATTAGATAAAACCTCTTAAATAAGCATGCACTGGTAAAAACTGCACAACCAAGTAAAACACAACTAAAAGAAAAATGTAGAGTATTGTCAATGATTTTAAATATTTTTATATAAAACAGTATTAAAAGGTGTCACTGACTCTGAAAAAAGCTTGATCCCCTAATTTCTCCTGCATCTCTTCAGACTTCAAAACGGTTCATCCATCCCCACTTACAAAACATGACCATCTAACTGTTCAGATAAGCTGTGACCTGGGGGGAAACCTGCACGAAGGTCAAACCTTTGATTCAAAAGTTTTTATACACTTGTCATGTTTTTGTTTTTGTGAGTCAAAATGTCCAAATAGAAATATAAAATGAAGTTTTCTTCCTCCATGTTCCCAGTCAGAACAGATAGAGAAGACTTTAGTTCATTTCTCAAAGCTTCCCTCTCCACTATGGGTTTTTAAAAAGATTTATAATAAAGTTTACCATAACCTATCGAAACAAGTGAAAATAACCTTGGTATAAACGGTAAACATTTAACCACCAAACTACATCCAGGCAGACTCTCTGAGATCAACTAAACATGTTTTATGGGAATATTTCATCACAATAGTCAGGTTTTGTTTCACTTCTAAGTTGATTGAATCATTTTAATTCAAACGGAGACACACGATCCTCAAACTTTATTTTCTCAGCTTCAGATTCAAGGAGCTTTAAAGTGCCTGTGACATCAAATTTTTTGTAATAATACAAATGCATTTTTTTGGAAAGTTAACACTGAGAAAATATAACAAAATAATTTTCATGCAGCTGAGGTGAAGGGTTGTTGAGATATTTACATGTGACGTAACAGGAAGTGATGTCAAAGGGGAATATCTAAGATGGCGGAGGAGTGAGACGTGTGTCACGTGGCTCCCGCTCCGACTTGTTCTGTTTGTGGTTCTCTACTAAATGTCCTTGCTGTTTTGA